TAATTACAAAATATCCACACTGTCTAAGACAGTGCTCCTCTGTCAACCTTTCCTCCTTTCATCATTTCATTTGGTTCATTCTCTCTCCTTTCTTTCAGAATTAACATTCTGGATTGGCTTTCCAAGTACAAAAGAATTTTATCAACAGTATTGAAGAAATCCTTTCCTCCACCAATCTCTACAGTAACTGATGTCTCATCCTTGTTGATTTCAATCACAATCTCAATTCATAGAAATATAGAAAATAGGAACAGGAGTGAGCCATTTCGTCCTTTGAGCCTGCTCTACCATTCAATATGATCATGACTAATCATCCAACTCAGTACACTGATCCCACTATCTCCACATAGCCTTTGATCCCTTTAGCCCTATATCTATCTCTTTCTTGAAAACATTCAACCTTTTAGCAGAAAATTCCATATGCTTACACTTTCTGGGTGCAGAAATTCTCTCCTCATTTCAGCCCTAAATGACCTACACCGTATCTTTAAACTGTGACCCCTTGTTCTGGACTTGCTGGTTATCAGGAATATCTTTCCTGCATTTATCGTGTCTAGTCCCATTAGAATTTTGTAGGTTTCTAGGAGATCCCCTCTCATTCTTCGAAACTTCAGCGAATATAGTCCCAATCAATTCAGTATCCCTTCATTTGTCAGTCCTACCATCCCAGAAGTCAGTCTGGTAAACCTTTACTCTGTTCCCTCCGTCACCACAGCAACCTTGCATGGATAAGGAGATCAAAACTACACACAATTCTCCAGGTGTGCTCTCACCAAGGCCTTATACAATTGCAACCAGACATCCCTGCTTTGTACTCGAATCCTCTCGCTATGAAGACCAACATGCTTTATGTCTCCGTCACCACCAGTTGCATTTGCATGGTTCCTTTCACTGACTGGTGTACAAAGTTACCCAGGTCTTGCTGCGCCTCCCCATTACCCAATTTAACACTATTCAGAAATAATATGACTCATTGTATCTGAGAAATTGAATCTGGAAGTTTTGATTGTGTTCTCTTTCTTCTGAGTGCTTTCTTGTCCTCCTTAAATCTCTTGAGATAAACCATCCAACCATAATCACAGGAGCCTATTTTATCATGCTTTCTCCCATTTTCTTGCTGTACCAATTACAGATAATGGCATTTACGATCACTTCTTTGAGTCGTTTACCACCCACAACACCCACACCTCCCCAACACCTTCCACAGGTCAACACCACCTCCTTCTGTGTGCAGGAATAATATCATTCAATTCACTCACAACCATACTTTCAAATCCTCAATTTCTAGTCTTTGGTGCTCTATTTACCATAATGTGATAGAAAGCATTTATTTAATTGACTGCACCTTCATTTCTACGATTCATGCCCCATTCTCTGTCACCTTGGATATTCTCCTTATATAGCTCAGATCTGTTACCTTATATCCAAAGGCCACAATCTTGAAAGGATGTGATGGACAACTTTAGCCTCCACAGTCAGATCTGATTGGACCACTTGTAACACTGTTGGATCCTATTCTCATGAGCCAGGATTGCTCTTTATTTTTTGAAATGAAAATCCCCTAAAGCAAAGAAAATCTTAACTTCTTTTCCCCATCAAAAATCGTCTTCCTAAATCCCTGTCCCTTGAACCCTCCACTCTCACCTTCAACAAGTGAGAAATATCCCTGGACTTCTTTGTCACTGAATTAAGACATTTCAATCAGCTGCCTCTGGTGTATTCTCTGGTCTACTAATCCAGGTGGTCAAATATCCTTTAATGGTCCTTGCTTTAAAGCTGAACTCACCTTTTTGAGTTTCTCTCCTACCTTCCGGTCTCTCTGTGAGAACAACTTGCCTTTCAGGCCCAAATCCTATTCCGTCAATCTTTTTCTCACTATGGTGCTGGCTATTCAACTCTATTCTTGGGTCTCATGTTAACCAATATTATAAATTGTTCTTTCTTTTCAGGTTATGTCCCTATCTCCTTTAAATCTTCCAATATCACCCCTTTCAAAAAGCCTTGTCTGCAAAACTACCAAAACAGCTCTTATCAAAGTCACAGTTAAAATTATAGAATCACTGAATCCTTACAGTGTGGAAGGAGGCCATTAGGCCCATGATGTCTGCACTGGCCCTCTGAAGAGCATCCCACCCAGACCCACCCTTTCCTGGTGACTCCATGTTTAGCATGGCCAATCTACCTTACCTGCACATCTTTGGACTTGGGAGGAAACCGGAGCACCTAGTGGAAACCCACATTGACACAGGGAGAACGTGCAAACTCCACATAGACAGTCAGCCAAGGCTGGAATCAAACCCAGGTCCTGGCACTGCGAAGCAGCAATGCTAGCCACTGAGCCACGATGCTGCATTAGTTAGCATCCAATATGACTGTGATAAGGTAAATTTCCTCTCTTCCTAAACCTGTCTGCAACCTTTGAGATAATTGATCACATCATCTTCCTTTGACCTTCTCCAGTGTCGCTCATCTGGGTTGAACTGCTCTCACCTGGTTCCATCCTTAAATATTTAATTATCCCAGAAAATCCCTTGCAATGGATCCTTTTCAAATTCCAAACTTAGTTCTTGTGTTTCTCAAGGATTGATTCATGGCCCCCTCCGATTTCTCTTCTAAATGCTACTACTCAGCAATATTAGCCAAAGGCATAGCATTTTTTTAATATTTTCACTGAGGACACCTATCACCACCTCCCTCAACTTCTCAGCTGTTGCTAAAGTATCAGACTGATTATCCAATAAACAATATTGATTCATAGAATTTTCCTCCAATTAATGATTGGGAAGAACAAATCCATTGTTTCTCTGCTCCAATTTCTGCTCCCTATTGAAAGGCTTCATTCCTCTATCTGGCTACAATCTGAGATTAAGTTGGCATTATTGAAACATTGCTTATGCATTTGATCCTGAAGAGAGGTTTCAAACTCACAACATGCTATTACTATGACATCTTATTTCCACCTCTATAAAAGCATCATGACATCATCCCTGGTGTATCTCTCGTGCTACTGAAGTCTCCATTTAAGGGGAAGTGATTGTCGAGTGGTATTATCACTGGCCTGTTAATACAGAGACCCAGATAACATTCGGGGACCCGGGTTCAAATCCTGCCATGGCAGATGGTGGAATTTGAATTCAACAAATTATCTGGAATGAAGAATCTTAATGATGACCATGAATCTGTTGTTGATTGCTGGAAAAACCCATCTGGGTCACTAATGTCCTTACCTGGTCTGGTCTACATGTGACTCCAGACCCACAGCAATGTGGTTGACTCTCAACTGCCCTCTGGGGATGAGGGATGGGCAACAAATGCCGTCTAGCCAGTGATGCCCTTATCCCATTAATGAATAAAGCTAAAAAAAACTACGCCTTTGTTCCCTGCAGTATTGACTATTCCAATGCATTCCTGATTGGTCTTCCACATTTACATACACTGTATGCTGGAGGTCATTCAAAGTCTCTGCTGATTGTATCTTAACTCAGAGAAGATCGATTTTGATATCATTTATAATGCTCACTGACCCTCACCAGCTCCTAGTTAAACAATATCTTGATATTAAAATTCCCATCCTTGTTTACAAGCCCCTTGAAGGCCTTGCCTCTCCCAGTCTCTGTAATCACTTCCAGCTCCACACTTTGAGATATCTACTGTCCTCTAATTCTGGCTATTTGTGCATTTCCATTATGAATTTCTCCGCCATTAGTGGTCATGCCTTCAGTTAAAGAGGCTCCAAACTTTGAAATTCCTTCAATATACCTCACCACCTCACTTTTCTTGTTTAAGATGTTCCTTTAGGAAAACGCTTTGACTCAGGTTTTTGCCATCCAACCTAACAGCTCCTTGCATTATTTGGTGTCATCTTTGGTTCTATATTGCTTCTAATCAACACATTGCTATTTTTGGGCCAATAATTTCTACTGGGCAAATATGGATTTTGGCAAGTCACCTCCTTCCATTAAATCTCCACTCAGATACAATCCATTTTACTACTCTGACCTGTTTTTACTATTCCTACCAACAAGAGATTCCAAGAACCATGACTATAATCAGTGTGTGTGATAGCAGCAGTTGTTCAAGTGTTCTTAGAAGTATTTTGAAGTTATATAAACAGCAAAGAAAAATCTAATATTCTGAGGAAGGGTCATTGGACCCGAAACATTAACTCTGATTTCTCTCCACAGATGCTGCCAGACCTGATGAGTTTTTCTGTTTTTGTTTCTAATTTACAGCGTCCATAGTTCCTTCAGTTTTTGTTAAAGGAACAGCATATTCTTATCTAAGCAATATGTCTCTAAAAATTGTACAATTTTACTGAAAACAATGTGGTTTCCCTTAACCGTAATTGGAAATAGCTGCTTTGTGGTTTGTCTTTTTCACAATTTATTGCCAGGAACAGAAACTGAATGAAAGCAATGTGGACTGAGATGGAAATGGCACACTCCACTTACATATATTATGAGGCTCTGACATCAACGACATAGTATACTGTGTGGAGTCTGGTGTAAAGATACTTTCTCACTGTTTAGCATCATTGCTCTGCCATTTTCAATCGTTGATTTTTCTTTTATTCATGTATGGAACATGGACATCGCTGGCTGGCCAGAAATTTATTGCCTATCCCTAGGTGCCCTTGAAAAAGTGGTGGTCAACTGCCTTCTTGAACTGCTGCAGTCCGCAGCTCATTGGGTAAAAGCTCTATGTTTGCAAAGGGGTATATCCCTTATTTTGTTGACTAACAACAAATATTTCAGCTTCCTGTGATTCCAATGCAGCAGTTTCATCCCTTTAAAAATTCCAAAAAATACAACAATGCTGGAAAACTAATGCATTTATAGATGTCTGCATAGGGGAATACATGGTTTGTGATTCTCTTTGATACACATTCTTACTTTTGAAGTTTGTACAATTGTATACAGACATAATAATCACTTCTATGTGTCAGCAAAGTTAAAGCCATTCAGAAATGAAAAAATAAATATGCAAATTAATTTACTTACAAAGGTGCTGTTTTCCAGCAATACAGTAGTTTCATTTGTAACTATATTCAGTTTGATCACATGCCCATCTCTGGTCCGATATACCACTTCGGCATCTATCAAGAGAATGCAAAGCAATTCAGATTTTTGTTTTTAACAACACATCTTAATTACAAATTGAAATGGGACATCAGTTTCATATAGAAAGAAGAAGAGGAATTACAAACAGCTTGCTATAAATACACAACAGACTATTAGCATTTGAAAGAAGAAACACAGAGACCATTCAGATCTTTCAATAGTCTGAGAAATTATTTTCACTCAGAACTTTAACCCATCTTTTCTCTTTGCAGATGTTACTAAATGAACTGTATATTCCCAGAAGTTCCCATTTTTGAAGATCAATTTTAGATTGGGACAAATCAATTTAAAGTTTAAGAATTCTTGAAAAAAAAACACAAAGATTATCTATACACTAATTCCTTTCCATCAATGCAATGTATAATTTTCAAAATAAATTTATGCATTTTTATGATTTGGCCTTTAATCACTAAACAAAAATCAACATTTTGTGAATTATCTACTGTTAACTGCAATTTAGGAAAAAAGGCGAGACATCTATTTCTTACAAAAACTTAACAGTATTCAAGTGATGAACAGATGACTTCATCCATTTTTATGTTCTTACGTGATGTTTATTTTAGTTAGGTATTTATCCAGTTTCATTTCAAAAGAAACAATTACTGTTGGCAGGGACCTGTCCCATAAATCTAACATTTCATGGGTGAGATAGAGACAATTAAGTTCCTTCAATCAATATCTTCCCATATTTCCAGCTGATGTACATTGATACTGAAACAAAATATAACATGAAAAATGAACATTGCTCTGAAGCCATTTATTTTATCACTGTCATATTAAGCAAATATTACTAAACAATGTTAACAATATATGCACTAACACAGATTGCTTTTTTTGTGTGATTGTATACTTATGTCACCCCTTTCTGGCTGGTTCCATGTTCCTTTTGTAAAAAAAGTTACCAACTTTTTTTTTATTCATTCATGGGACATAGGGGATGCTGTGAGACTAGCATTTCTTGTTTATCCTAATTGCCTTCAAACTGTGCGGCTTGCTAGGCCATTTCTAGTGACAGCTAAGAGTCATAGGTTTATAGAGATGTACAGCACAGAAACAGACCCTTCGGTCCAACTTGTCCATGCCAACCAGATATCCCAAATTAATCTAGTTGCATTTGCCACAATGTTTTGAGTTTGAAGTAACATGCAGGCCAATTCAGGTAAAAAAGGTATTTGTCCTTCCCTACAACAAACAATATTAGTTGTTATGGTCATCATAACTGAGAATAACTTTATAGTCCCAATTTATTATTTGAATTTATATTCCACCATCTGCCATGGTGGAATTTAAGCCCATGTCTCTGGAAGAGTTCTGAAGAAGGGTCTCTGGACCTGAAACGTTAACTCTCATTTCTCTCCAATGATGCTGCCAGACCTTTTCTATGAATTTCTGTTTTTGTTTCAGATTTCCAGCATCCTCAATTCTTTCTTTTTTTTTCCCCTGGAAAATTAGCCTGGGCCTCAAGGTTACTCATCCAGTGCCATTACCACTACATTACCAACTCCCTCTAAAGGAATTATCTCACATTTCAGAATGTTAGTGCTTGTCATATAGAACATGCAAACAGGCACTAGGCTAAAACAATCCACTGCTGCTGCTATAAGAACTTAACTCTCCATAATCTACAAGCAGAATGAAGAACAAACATCTTAACTATACCCATTGAACTTTTGGATCTGTCTCTCATAGGTCCAACATTTTCCAAGTTCCATTGTCACAAGTAGTGCCTTTAGTTGGAAGCCACAACTCTGTCACTTCTTGCACCTCATGATCTACAACCCACGTTTGTCTTTGCACTTCTCACTTCTCACCTTCATTTGGATCCACTCTTCTGCTTATCCCTGGGTGTCTATTCATTGCTCACATTCAGCTCCATAAAGTATGTATGATTGCTGCTAAGTAAAAGGTGTTCTGTTCTTTTATTTCTCTTTCCTCTATCTTTATTATATTAAATCGTATTGACTTACATAAAGGTGGCATTACACAATTATCAACAGATCAGTTCTTCTCAAGTTATTTGACTTTAGGGGCAACACATTTGTCTATTTCTGTTTACATGTGTACCTGCCAGCTGCTGAATATTCCACTTGCCCCCTTACTACACTTACACTCATTCAGGAATACACTGAAATGCTATTTAAATATCCTGAAGATTTTCAGGTTGGTAGGTAATAAGGAAGATCTACGGCAATATGCCAGCTATAGCTGTAAAATGTAGGCATTGCTTGGATTCAAAAAACAAAAGAACAAAAGAGAAGTGCAGCACATGGGCAGGCCCTTTGGACCTCCAAGCTTGTGCTGATCATCACGCCCTAACTAATCCAAAAACAGAACCTTCTGCCCTTATGCAGTTCATATCCCCCTATTCCCTCCCTATTCATGTAACCATCCAAATGCCTCTTAAATGTCCTCAACCTGCCTGCTTCCACTGCCTCTTTGGCAGTGCGTTCCAGGCTCCTCCCACTCTCTACATGAAAAACTTCCGTTACAAACCTCCCTTAAACTTTCACGCACCATCCTGCTCCCTGGCCAACATCTCTGTCTCTGGTTTGATGCAGTGTTCCAGCGAAGCTCAACGCAAGCTGGAAGAACAACACCTCAATTTCCGCTTGGGGACCCTGCAGCCCTCCAGACTCAATATCGAGTTCAACAATTTTAGGGCCTAAACTCTCCCATGTCCCAGCCTCCTACTCCACACACCAGGCCTTGTTATCACACTGCCTGCCATTACACACTACTTGTTGTTAGTCACTAATAGTACCCTTTAACAACCATTCACCCTTTCAGCCTGACCGTTATCAATTCCTTTGTCCAACTGGTCTTCTCTCTCTTAAGGCTCTATCCTATTGTTTACTCCCTACCCTATGCACCTCCCTATTTTCTGCATATAAACTGACGTTTTCCCAGCCACCATCAGTTCTGAGGAAGGGTCACTGGACCCGAAATGTTAACTCTGTTTTTTTCTTCACAGATTCTACCAGACCTGCTGAGCTTTTCCAGCAACTTTGTTTTTGTCCCTTAAACTTTCCCCCTCTCACCTTGAACCCATGCCCCCATAATTGAAACTTCAAATCCTCAAAAAAATGTTTGACTATCCACCATATCTATGCCTCTCATAATTTGTAGACCTCTATCAGGTCTCCTCTCAGCTGCCATTTTTCCAATAAAAACAATCCTAGTCTTTTTAACCTTTCCTCATAGCCAATGCCCTCGAGAGCAGGCAACATCCTGGTGAACCTTCTCTGCACTCTCTCCAAAGCTTCCACATCCTTCTAGTAATGTGGTGAGCAAAACTGCACACAATACTCCAAATGTGGCCTAACAAGGGTTTTATATAGCTGCAACATGGTTTGCCAGCTGTTGTAACTCCGTACCGCAGCTGATGAAGGCAAGCATGCCCAATGCCTTCTTAATCACTTTGGCCACCTGTGTTGCCACTTTCAGGGAACTGTGGACCCGCATGCCCAGATCCGTCTGTATGTTAATGTTCCTAAGGCCTCTGCCATTTACAGTATAATTCACACCTAAATTTGATCCTCCAAAACACATCACCTCATATTTGTCTAGATTAAGTTCTATCTGCCATTTCTGTGCCCAAGTCGCCAATCTATCTATATCCTGTTTTATCCTTTCACAATTGTTGGCACTATCAGCAACTCCACAAAGCCTCATGTCATCTGCAAACTTGCTAATCACACCATACCCATTTTCTTCCAGATCATTTATATATACTACAAACAACAGAGGACCTAAGACTGATTTCTGTGGAACACCACTGGTGACCAGTCTCCATTCTGAAAAACATCCTTCCACCAATACCCTCTGTCTTCCATGACCAAGCTAGTTTTGCATCCATCTAGCCAGCCCACCCTGAATCCCATGTGATTTTAGTTTTTGTACCAATCTGCCATTTGGGACTTTACCAAATGCCTTACTAAAGTCCATATAAACTACATCTATAGCCCATCCGTCATCAATTACCTTTGATCACCTCTTCAAAAAATTCAATCAGGTTGGTGAGACATGACCTTCCCCATATAAAACCATGCTGCCTGTCACTAACTAGTTCACTTTCTTCCAAATGTGCATATATCTTGTCCCTCAGTACCTTCTCCAAGAGCTTCCCCACCACAGATATCAGGCTCACCTGCCTATAATTTCCTAGATTATCCCTGGTTCCTTTCTTAAACAAGGGAACAACATTGGCGAATCTCCAGTCTTCTGAACCTCACCTGTGGTCAAAGAGGATGTGAAGATATCTGCTAATGCCCTAGTATTTCTTCCCTTGCCTTTTGCAGTAACCTGAGATATCCCATCTGGTCCTGAGGCCTTAATGCGATTTAGGATACCCAAAACTTCCTCCTTCAATATGTTGACATTCCCTAGAGTATGCACACACTAATCCCTGATCTCAACATTATTCATGTCCTTCTCCTTGGTGAATACCAAAACAAAGTACTCATTAAGGATCTCCCCCACTTCCTGGGGCTCCACGTGTAATTTCCCTCCTTTGTCCTTGAGTAGGCCTACTCTTTCCCTTGCTACCCTCTTTCTTCTAATATATGCATAAAAAGCCTTGGGATTCTCCCTGACTCTGTTCGCTAAAGGCATTCCATGACCCCTTTTAGCCTTCCTAATTCCGCGTTTAAGTTCCTTTCTACTTTCTCTATATTCCTCAATGGCTTTGTCAGTTTGTAGCTGCCTAGATCTGTCGTATGTTTCTTTTTACCTTTTGACTAAGCTTACAATTTCCCTTGTCACCCACAGTTCCTGAATCCTGCCATTCCTATACTTCAGTTTTATAGGGACATGCATATCCTGCACTTTAATCAACTGGTCTTTAAAAGCTTCCCACATGCCAGATGTAGATTTGCCCTCAACTAATTGCTCCCAATCCATATTCCCCAGTTCCCGTCTAATTTGGATGTAATTGGCCCTTCCCCAACTAAGTACCCTCACCCAATGGCCACTCTTG